TTGAAAAGTTTTTCCAAAATTTTTTTAGTCATATTCAACTTCCTCAGTTATATTTAGTCATATTTGACATTAACTTTTTATATACATCTTGACAATTATATCGGCTCTTTATAATTTTCACTTCCAATTTATTAACCGTACAATTTAACAAGCAACTTAACTGCAAGAGAAAACAAATCAGACCTCGAGATGTGGGTCCGGAGTATCGCGATCTTTCAGGAATCGAACCCGCAAAACCCCGGATGAATAAATTCGCATGCACTGTCGATATCGATACACAGCCAAACTATTGACTACAGTAATCAGCAGCGATGGCACCACCGTACAAATTATCGTATCAATAAATGTGAAATAGAAATGCATCTCAGCGAGATCATATCTGTCATCAGAATTACGTTTATCATACGGTAAGCTAGCTTAAGTATAGCCGAAAGTGTAGGCGCTTAGTTCAGCCCAAAAAACAGATTCCAGCCCGCGCAGAGCAGTTTTTAGTGGCGATTAAAAATTATTAGTCCTCTAAAATATTAATTAATTACCGCCTTCTTTTGTTGAAATCTTATCTGAAATATTCAAGTGCAATCAGCCAGAGCTAAAAATTCCCACTCACCCGTCAAAATCTGCCAATGCCGCTCGATTTACAGCTTGCTTCAACTCGCATACTAATGCATCTACTTTGTGATTCAATCGCTAATGTGGCGTAGGCAGCTGTCATCGAAATGGATTATGCTATTTTGAAGTGACCAAAGCAGCAGGATTCAGTGTTTTCGGAGCGTCACTGTCCATCTTCTGTATTTGAAGGCAGAGGAATAATTACTCGTGTTAGTCTCAAAAAACGTTTGGAGGCTTGTCGCTTATGAGTGAACAATATTTCTCACTGACAGCGGCAAAAAGCAATTGTGCTTATAAGTGCAACGTGAACTGTAAACAGTCAAGTCAGAAGCTCCCTCGTAATTAACCTTTTACAATTTGTGGCAGTAGGCGAAAGTAACCCGAGTTGTAGACAGCATTCGTTGCCTACAACTCGGGTTACTTTCGCCTACTGCTACACATTGTAAAAAGTTGGTTAAGTGGATTGTTTGGAAGCAAAATGACACCTGTTTTGAAATGTAAATTGATCTTTGGAGCAGATTAAAAATCATAGAAAAGCATGAAATAATTTAATGCCAGGCAGAAGTATGAAATAATTTAACGTTTTTCAAAAGTCAGCAAAATTCGAACATCTTTTTTGTAAAGCGAAATCTATTGAAAAAAATATACAGTCTATTCTGCGGGCAGTAAAAAAAAACACAGCTTCTCAGTGAATAATGTTCGTGAGAAAATAAACATCACTCAGGCGGCCCACATGCATAATACAAGCGACAACGCTATTAGCTGGGGACATGCAACTCACAATCCAGCACAACTGGCAAAGCACAACCCATGTAGTATCGATAAGATCGAATCCGCAAACCGGTTTTCGGGCGATCTGGTAAGCTTCATATACCGTGGAAGAATTAATTAATTTATTAGAAGATGCCCATTTTTCTCAACAAAACAGTCTAATGAAAAGATTTTTAGCAAATTACGTAACATTATTTGGCTATTGCCAGGAGATCAAACAGATTTTCTCAGCGAACTAAACCTAGCTGAACGAACTGTATCTGCAAAGTGGAGAATTGTTTGAACCATTCGAAACTGTAAAATGATCGCGAAATTATTAATGATATATGAGGGAAAACTTAGTTGAAACTACAACTGCGAAGGCTAGGTTGTTTACAATGATCAAATTTTACAACTAATTAAGAAAGTCGGCCCTCAAATATCAACACAGTTTCGAAGAACAAATAACATACCCAATGAAAGATAAATTTGTGGAAAGACCGCAAAAGACAGATTGGCGCTCGTATTCTAAGCCAGCCGACATCAAGCACCAGCTATAGAGTATCATGCTGCATAGCACCGTACCGTAAACCATTCGCCGGGCAAATTTCTTCGAGCAAACTTTGGTTCG